ATTTGCATAAGTTATGAAGTTGTTTCTTGTAATCATATCTGACAGGAAAGGTTAAGAGAATTTTAGAACTAATTTAGTTGAGCTTTTTATGATTTCCTAAAGTTAATAGTTATTTGGAATTATAAGAAACACCAAAGCATTCACAATATTGTAAAAACTAATTTTAAATAGTTTATAAATACTAGGAAGTAGGAAGCCAATACAACAGAACCTCTACCTCTTATCGCATTTTCTATGTCCACCTCTTATCACATTTTCAAACTGGAAAAGAATAGGCAGTACTATAGTAAGATTTTCTTGACCAAAAGCTGTATACTAAGATGGCGGCTGCCCCCTCCCCTCTCCTCCCCTCCCCTCCCCTGCCGCGCCGCCGTCGGAGTAGGCCGCCGGCAAGGCCATGCGGCTCGCCGAGATGGCGGCGGCGGGGCCTCTCATCCTCGCGCCTTGGCAGAGCAGCAGAGCAGGTTGCAGCGGGCCGGCTGGGCGCGGCCTCGCCTGAGCCGCGTGGGGCTCGGGGGAGCCACCTGGCCGCGGCTGCGGCAGCGCCTGCCGGAGCCTAGGCAGGCGCTCGGTGGTGGCGGAGGTGGGTGAAAGCTCTAGTTTAGTTTTGGTAAATTGATAAAACCCTAAGTGCTAACCTAGTTTATCAAAGTGATTATGAGATAGCTGGCACATTCCAAGTGGTAAAGCAAATGAAGATCATGACATGATGATGATGGTGATGGCATGGTGATGATCATATGCTTGGACTTGGAAAAGAGGAAAGAAAAACAAAAAGCTCAAAGCAAAGGTGAAATTGATAGGAGTTTTTCGGTTTAGTGATCGAGACACTTAGAGAGTGTGATCACATTTAGAATCGATAGTCGTACTATTAAGAGGGGTGAAACTCGTATCGAAATGCGGTTATCAAAGTGCCAGTAGATGCTCTAACTCATTGCATATGCATTTCGGATCTAGTGGAGTGCTAACACTCTTAAAAATGTTTGTGAAAATATGCTAACACACATGCACAAAGGTGATACACATTGTGTTTAGCACTTGAGAGCAATGGTAAGAAACTTCACCGGCGGAGTATCCGCCCGTAGAGTGCGGACAGTCCGACGGTACCACCGGTGCCCTGTACAGAAAAGACAGGTTTTCACAGAGTGCACCGGACGCTGGCCTCAACTGGAACGGAGCGTCCGGTCAGTGGAAGCAGTGAAGACGCTGACGTCGGTCTTCGACCGGACGCTGACGGGGTGCATCCGGTCCTGCTGACGTGGTAGCGCACAAAGAAGAGGGTGACTGACCGGACGCTGAGTGAGTCCGATCGGGCATGACCGAACGCGTCCGGTCGCGACTGGAACCTTACTGGAAACGATCGGACGCTGGGATCCTGCGTCCGGTCACTTTCAAGCAGCGCGTCCTGTCACAACTTAAATGTACTGATGACCGTTGAGATTGGGCGATCAACGTTTGTAGCAAGGGCACGTGGCGTGCATCGCACGACCGGACGCTGGGATCCTACGTCCGATCAATCTGACCGGCGCGTCCGGTCGCCCTATTTTTCAGTGGACTGGGGAGCCAACGGCTCTATTTTGTGGGGGCTTCTATCTAAGCCTCATGACCGGCTCAAGTTCACTCTCTTGGCGATTGACATTGACATAGCAACCTTGTGAGCTTAGCCAAAGCCCTCCCACTCATCTCCATCATTGATACAACATCTTTGTGAAATTGGGAGAGAATCCAAGTGCATTGCTTGAGTGTTTGCATCTTGAGGCATTTGGTATTCGTGTTTCACTGCGGGATTCACTTGTTTCTCTTGGTGGTTGCCGCCACCTAGATGGTTTGGAGCAGCGAGGATCGTCGAGCGGAGGTTGGTGATTGTCTTCGGCTCCGATCGCGGTAATTGTGAGGGGTCTTGTGCCTTCCCCGATGGAGCGCCGAAATATAACTCTAGTGGATTGCTCGTGTCATTGAGTTACCTCACTTGTGGGTAGGTTCTTGTGGTGTCCAAATTGTGTGGACAAGGTTCGTGCAACACCTCTTAGCCACCGAACCACCAAGTGTTGGTCGACACAATGGGGACTAGCGTGCCGGCAAGCACGTGAACCTCGGGAGAAAAATTGGTTGTCTTTTGTCCTTTGGTATTATCCCGGTGATTGATTTAGTATTCATCTTATGATTGGTTAACTCCTCTACACGGCGGTATAATCACACTACTCACTCATTTATATTTTTGCAAACTAGTTGTAGCAAACTCTTTAGTGTAATTAGAATTGAGAGCTTGCTTTATTGTTTTAAGTTCATCTAGTGGGGCTCTTTAGTATAGCAAGTGTGAGAGCTCTTGGTGAGTAGTAACATAGAAAATTATGTGTCTAGTGATCATAGCAACTAAGATTGTTGGATAGGTGGCTTGCAACCTTTGTAGAGTTTGAGCAAGTTTGCATTTCGCTATTTGTTATACTAATCCAATTGCTCAAGTCGGTTTATAGATTTTTAAATAGACTATTCACCCCCCTCTAGCCATATTAGGACCTTTCAACAAGATCTCCTTCTTCCCCTCCGTCGTCCCCTTACTCCTCGTATGGCAGCGTTGTCGGCGATGTTCCGGGCTGCTCTTGGGCCTGGGCGGTTAGATCTGGTGCGCTGGAAGCCGGATCTGGCGCCCCCATGTCTGGGGGCGGCGGCGGCGGCGCCAGCTTGGGGCACCGGTTCTCTGCCCTAGCGACTGGATCCAACGCTCTTTGGGCTGGGGGCGGCGCCCATGGTGGTGGGGCACTCGCGACCGGCAGCGACCGGCGGTGACCGGCATCATCGGCTGCGGGTGCCAGAGCCGGCAACGTCGTCCAGCAACGGCTTCGGTGTGCGGCAGTGTGACGCGCGCGGCAGGGTAAGCCGATCCCGTGTTGCCCGGCCAGAGGGGGTGGCGCCCGACGTAGCTATGCGGCTGCTGCGTGCAGCCGACGCATCGATGCCTCTCTAGAAGGGTTTCGTTGGGATGGCGGGGCAGTGATGACGGTGGCGACAACAGGATAGGGTCCGGGTCTTGGTCGGACGTTTGTGCTGGGGAACCCTTTGGGCGAAAGCCTTGACGACAGCGACGTTTGTGGGCGCCGCATCCCCTGCTGAGGGCGTCGTGTTCCCCAGCATTGCCTTCCACGGGTGAAAACCCGGTCCATCTTGGACGAGCGACGGTGGCGTTCTCGACGTCATGCCCTTCTTGAAGGCGTCGCTGATTGGATCTTGTCTCAACCACGACGTTGCCTTCGGTTGATGCTCTTAGCTTCTCAGCGCCCGGTCTACGTGTGGAGGGAGGACTTGCAGCGTGAAGTTGGAGCTGCTGCGTCAAGAGATGTGACTCGGCAACAATGACATGAGGCGAACCGCCCCCTCTTTCGTCTACTGGGAGGCTTTGAAGGTGTGGCAAATGCTGGGGGCGGGGCGGAGGGTCAAGATAGGAAGTCGAAGCTGCTCTTTGTTTTGAGCTTGGCAACGATGACCTGTTGCGGCCTCTCGCTTTGGGCCATCTTTTTTTCTTCAGTAGGTTGGTCCGTGTCTGCCATGGGAAGTCGGAGCTGCTGGTTGCTTTGTAACCACGCTCGGCAACGATGACTCATGACAGTTTTGTTTCGATTCCGCGTCGCGTGGGTGGGTCAGCCATTCGTGTGGTGTGTGTTGGCACCACGTTTGGCTACCCTTCTTGTACATAATTTTCTTTCGTTTTAATTGAGCGGCAGAGCTCCTGCCTTTGTTTAAAAAAAAAGTGATGCCATACCTTTTTTCAAGGAGAGGGACAGGGAGAGAGAGGAAGAGAATAATACTATCTTGTCCTTTTGCTGGGGGGAAAGGTGCTGTGGCTGGTGGCCCTTGGTTTCTGAAGAGGCAATTAACTTTCCTTTTGAGAATTTTATTCGGTCAACCCTTTTTGTATGATTCCTGTCATTCTCATTCTTCCATTACCCTCATGTATTTTTAGGTCTTAGGAAATGTTCTGAATTACATTCTTGAAGTATAGGGGAAAGATGATATGTCTACAAATGTTCCTGTTCTATGAATTTTTTTTTCTCGAACGTGCACTGTAGCACGTATTTCATTAAGAGGAAGTAGAGAACATCCAAACAAACAACGGCAACGTCGACGTGAGGTAACCAAAGGTTGCCCTGTCGAATAGAAAAAAACAGAAAACAGAGCGGTAAAAAAAAAAACCAACGTCACAAGTGACCAATTACATGAACGAAGTGAGCGACGACAGGGTCGAATACCCGGCCCTCAACCACAAGTCAGCCTCCTGTCGGATCTCCAAACACAGCTCTCGGGCATCCTTGGCCTCATTCTTGAACGTCCGTGCGTTGCGTTCCTTCCAAAGCATCCAAAGAGTTAGCATGATTAACGAATCGAAGCCCTTCCTGCTTGCTTCGATGCACCCTACGCTGGCCCAGCCCACCAAAATGAAAGGTGTCGACGTCCCGTGGCGCGACGGTTTGTGAGCCCAAGCTCGACAGAGGATTATCCAGACTGGCGGTGAGGCTACAAACCCAGCGGGATATGATCCAGAGTTTGAGATGCTTGAAGACACATGATGCAATCGTCATCATCCTGCGAGCCATGCCGCATCCGGCGATTCTTTGTCCAAAGAACGACGATGCATAGCCAACCGGAAGAAGAACGACCTTTGGTGGTGCCCGCGTCCCCATATCAGCTTGCCCCCCAAAAGGCGTGGTCGATCCGCTGAACATCGCACCATACGCCGACGCCCGCGGAGTATTTGTGATCGGCGGACCAACGCCAGATGATGAGTCCGTAACCCCCCTCGACGACCACCGTACCCGCGCACCCGCTCCCGAGAGGTCCGAGATCATCGGAGGAATACACGCACGGCGCACGGTGATGTCGAGACACCCATGCGTGGCCAGCCAATCCGGCGCCCACGATCCCGTGACCTCGCCTTCGCCCGTGGGGCGAGAGGCAAACACAGCCATGCGCAATTTGTCGCACCACGGCATCCATGGATCCATGAGTCATGCCAAAACAGCGTTGAGGTCCCGTCCCCGATCGCCACCATTGTTGCTTTGCGGAAGAGGGCACTCGTGGTCTGTCGGTTGTTGTCGGCGAGATCGATCCAAGTTACTGTTTGGGTCGACCTTCCGCACCACTCCTCCCAGCGATCTAAGTGCGAGACCAAACTGCGCGCGGAGTTGATGACGCCGAGGCCCCAGCTCCTTTGGCCTACAGACCACGTCCCAGGCCACGCGACATTTGCCCGCGGCCACCAAGGCCGACCCAGACCATATGAACGATCGACGTAGCTTATCAATGCGGTCGACCGCCCATGGCGACAGACATACGGCAATGGAGAGGTGCACTGGGATGGCGGAGAGCGTCGTCTGCGTCAACGCAACCCTGCCTGCCGTATTCATGAGCTGGCCCTTCCATAGCGGAATACGCGCCGCGACGGTATCGATGAGGAATTGTTCCTCAGTCCGGCGCAGGCAGCGAGTAGAGATGGGGATTCCCAAGTAATTGCACGGAAAGGCTCCGAAGTAGAGATGAAAAATTATAACGTGTACGAAATCCTCATCATTTTTCAGTTCTCCAGATGCCTGGAACTTTTATGAGATGTATGTAGAAGTGACAATGCCGGAAGGTTTTAAATCACAGAAGAACCTTCCTAGTTAATAGTTATGCATTTTACATCAAGATGTACAGCTGTAATCCCAGCAAAAAGTAGTGAAAACATGCTTGAATCTACTTGAGCTAGTGCTGCAAACCTACTAGAGGAGTAGTACTGGATTGAACATTCCTATGTATTATAAATTTATAATGGTTTCTAAACAAAATGTATCACTATTTGTTGTAAACATAACTGTCTCACCTGACCTGGAAATGGATCCTAAGTATCATTCCTACTTCACACGTTTATTCAGGACGTTCATTTACTTCTAAAGTTTGCATTTGCAGCTTTGTACAAAGACAGCTTCATTTTCTAGTTGAAACTATACTGGTGCCTTGTTTGGATCCCCCTATCTGCCAAGGCAACTGCCAGTAAATGATACTTTCCCACTGGAGACGTACCACACACATAGTTACATCAAAAGAGTGATGCATCCTATAAAGCTTCTATGGAAATATGGTTCAAGGGAATTTGTGCCAGAAGCTCTGCTCAAGCCACCAGTTATTTGAGTTGACAAACTGTTGTTTTTTTGGTGAAGCAAGCTTTGACTCTGATCAATGGCTTGAAGCTCAAGGCCAAATGTCCGCCCCGTAACTGGTCACCTCGTTGGACTTTCGATTATCCAGACTCTCTAGGCTTGCAGTGCTTTGTACTGGTGAGTTTTGTACTTGTGGAGCTGCGGTTGGACCTCTGAACGCATCACTCCCTAGTAAATCCAACCCTGTGGTTGTGAGCATATTCAAAGCTTGGCACATCTTTCTTGAGTTCAGATATGGTGCCAGGCCAAGGTCGCCTAGGCCACAAGATATAGCACTTCTCGCTACCATATCCTCTGCCATCTTTACCTGCAATTCAAACGGATTGGTTAGACTGATAGAGAGTCGCAACACTTGTGATGGTTCAGTGGTTGTGGCAGCTGTTTCTGCGAGAATCGAACTGCTCACCTTGACTCTTAACGCTTCTACATCGGATTTGAGGATTCTGTTGTCTGTGACTGCAGTACTGAACTGCTGGTTGGACTCTGAAAGTTGCTGGAACAATGTTGCATTTTCACCTTTAAGTCGTTCAACCTGATTATGAGGGAACATATCAGTGTGCATCCCATAAAACTCACAGCACCACGTCCTTAGTTGGAAGTCATTCCTGGTCAAGTGGTTATGGTACCTGTGACTCAAGTTCAGACAATTGCGCCTGTTTTTTCCGCCTAGACCGTCGCGCAGACTCCCTGTTGGACACCATCCTGAAATTTACAAGAACAATGCATCCACAACAAGACGTAAGCTCTCTGTTCAGACATTTGTTGGAAACTTGCATGATTTCTCTGCAGGCTTGATCTATTCATACCTTCTAATCCGCTTCGTTTCAATGGATTTGTTGCCTCGCTCATATGGAACTCCCTCTACCTCATAGAGTGATTCGCTGTCGGAGTCTGACTCGCTTTCAAGAGCATGGTTCGCTGAGGTGGTTGCCCCGAGGCTGGCTGTGACCAGGACAATGCGGCAGGTGAGCAATACTTATCATGAGCCTAATTGGATGTTTTTTAGAATTCCGCATAATTCGGATGTGATCATACTCTAAATCGATTGGACTAGCTGTTAACATATATTCAAATAGGCCTGTTTAGCAGGCAGGAATTTCCATAGAAGTTTGGACAGATGAAAACACTGAGCTGTTTAAAATCCCATAGGATTCATGTGCAAATTGTAAACGGTTGTGGTTCACATATCCAATCAACAAATGATCACAATTATCTATCATTCGTACAGAGATCAGAGCATTTGACGACATAGTTAAATTCGAGTTTGTATAGATTGCAGTTGCAGGAGCAGGGCTGTATGTCCCTTACCGGAGATGGACGCCGTCCGCGACATGTCTGGGTTCATCGTGCGGACGCTCCCATACCACCAACTGCTTTCATCCATGGTGTTCTGCTCGGGCACAAGCAGATCTTTGGTTAGTAATGAAACCACAGGCAAGCGTAGCGAACTCTACCTATCTTCTTTGGAAACAGAGATGCATTTTCAGTTGCGCTGCAATCACATTGCTCGTGGCTGTCAGTGCTCACCGAGTCGGCGAAACCGACGCCGGGCAGGGCGCCGCCGGCGCCGGGTGAGAACACGCCGCTCCCTCCGGGCTCGCCTGGTCCGCCGCACCCGGGATTGCCACGCCCGGCGGCGGCGCGGGCGTCGTCGCCGCTCTCCCGGATGAACGCCTCCAGCTGCAGCTCCGACGCGCACTTCTTCATCCCGACAGCCGGTGTACCGCGAGAGTTGACGCCGACCGCACCTGTGCCTCCCGTCCCGGCGTGGTGGTGTCGCTCGCTGGCGTGCCGTGCCGACGGTTTTTGAAGGGGTGGGGCGCGGACAGAAATCTGGTGGTACGTGGAAAGGTTAGTTGGGGTGCTGGGGGATAAACCGCCTCGTCAAATGGATGGTGACGCGGGATGACTCGGATCCGCGTCGGCCTTGGCGAGGCAACGACGCCGATGCGGGGGCACGCGCGCGCGCCCGTGGCCGCCGACAGGAGGGCCCCGCGTCCGGTGGGCCGTGGCTGTCACGGTACGGGGGTCGGGTGGGACGAGGCGGCGGCGACTGTCAGCGGGGCGCGGGCGCTCGCGCCGCGCGTATCTCGCGATGAAAGCGAGGGAGAGGGAGGCGCGTGCGTCCGAGTCAGCATGGGGCTCGGGATCTGCCTCGTGGGCCCGGGGTGGGGGGGGCGGGCCCCGGCCCGGCCGCCGCGTCTGCGCGGCCACACGATCCGCGCGGCCTGGTGAGTGGGCGATGATGTGGCGCGGTTGACCTGGGGAAGGGACGGAGACGCACTCGTGGAGCTGCGTCGGACGGGACAGCGGCAGCCGGGCTTTTCGAAGCGATCCTGGTCTAGGCCTTGTTTACACGATGGTAGGGAAGAATCAGTATTTGGCATCGTAATACTTTTATTTGTATTTGATAATTATTGTCCAATCATGATCTAACTAGGCTTAAAAGATTCGTCTCGTAATTTATAATCAAACTGTGTAATTAGTTATTTTTTATCTACATTTAATACTCCATACATGTGTCCAAAGATTTGATGTGATGGAAAGAGAGTAAAAAACTTGAAATCTAAACAAGGCCCTAGCGGCGTGACTGCGTGAGTGAGGGTGGCCTCGGTGGTCGGCAACTAGGTAAAAGATCTTGTGAACTTGTTATCCTCTGATAGTTCGGTCCGGCTCTTCTTTCCGAAAGGCGGTAGTGGCTCGATTGTTTTCGTTATTCGGAGGGTGATCATATCAGGGTTTACCGACGTGATGTGCGATGTTCAGTGGGAGTGAAGCCGTGGCCATTAGCAACTAGGCATGCACGGGTGACACGCACCGGCGGAGCCCAGTTATGGCCATAGAGGGCTCCACGCAAAAAAGAAATGAAGATCTAAGCTGCTGTGCAGTGTATCTTTATTGTTGTGCAAGTCTGGATGGCTAGGCTAGCTAATTCAGCCCACGAGGCATAGGCGATGGGCCACCAGCCACATGCAAGCCAGCCCATTATGCACGCAGGAGCCACATTACTGGTGGCACCTAGGACCTGGCGGCACCTAGGACCTGACATTGCTCAATATGCAAAGCAAAGGGGAAGAAAATAATCCACATCCACCGAGACGCCCGGTGGAGGCTCACAGACGACGATAAGGCGACGAGCTGGAAGCCAGAGGCCTCGGAGCTGTCGATGCCTCGCGGCGGCTTTCCCAGTTGACTCGCCGACTCATCATCGGCCCCGGCCGGCAGGCGGCGGCGCCTCCACGCCCACGCTCGTTCGACTCTGTTTCAAAGACCATGTAGTTTAGAACCAAAACTTATTTCTATGGAACTTCTCTATATATTGTCTCGGATTTGACAAATGGCCCCCCTATATTAGGCTTCACGCTCCGCCACTGGTGACACGCCATAGGATGGGAGGTCCGTTGGTTGCATACCATTCTGATTCGAATGCTTCCGTTGTACTCCATCGGTTCCAAATTATAAGTGGTTTTAACTTTTCTAGTTCATCCATTTTATTATGTATCTAGACATATTATTACTCTCTTCGTTCCAAAGTATAAGTCGCTTTGACTTTTTTGGTTCATTCATTTGGCTATGTATCTAGACATATTATTATATCTAAATACATAACAAAATAGATATACCAAAAAAGTCAAAACAACTTATAATTTAGAATGGAGGGAGTATATCTAAATGCATAGCAAAATGGACATACTAAAAATATCAAAGTGACTTATAATTTGGAACAGAACGAGTAATACAGTAGTAGTTAGAATATTTCCATATGCTAAAATAACTAATTAGGGTACAGATCCTAAGAGTCGTGTGTTTGCGTAGACCCCGGGGGATTTAGGATCTCGTTTGTCAACGGAGATTGGAAGAAACTTGTAGCTATAAGCCATTAAAAAGGTACTCCCTCCATCTCAAATTATAAGTCATTCTAAGAATCTTGGAGAGTCAAATTTTTTCAAGTTTGACTAAAATTATAGAGAGAAACACAAAGATTGATGACATCAAATAGGTATAATATGAAAATATAGCTAATGAAGAATCTAATGATACTTACTTGGTATGATAAATATTATTATTTTGTTATATAAATTTGGTCAAACTTAAAAAACTTTGACTCTCCAAAATTCTTGGAATGACTTACAATTTGGGATGAAGGGAGTATTTCTCAATTTTGTGTCGAATGAAATGTTGTACAGTACTTTTATATATGCAAGTGTTTTTTATAGGTTACGTATTCAGATATTCAGTGTCTTATGGGTTATCAAAATATTTTATGTAATATAACAGCACTTTCCTCATTTTGTTCGGTATATATGCACCATGCGCTCCAAGCTGGGCCGTGGGCTCTCCTCACCGCTCGGCCGAGCTGCTCGCCGGCCTCTCTGTGCTAGGCGCAATGTTCGGCGGGTTGGCAGTCACTTTGGGCTTAAGGTCATGTTTAGTTGGGCTTTTGAACCTGCTTTTGCTTTTACAAAAACCAACAAAAAAAAAGGCTCAAAAGCTACGACTGCTTTAAGTCAAAAGCAGCTTTGGCTCTAATACAAAAATGAAAGCATCTCACCTCCTACTTTCAGCTGCTTTTGGGCCAAAAAATTAACCACCTGCCACTGGTTATGAGATACCAGTTCATTTTTTTTTTTCTTTTCCTCTCGGCGCCAGCTACGGGTGGTCGCGAGACAGAGACACACGAGGCTGTCCCGGCCCCTTCAACCATATAATAATTAGCTCACCATAAAAATTTCACCACAATTGAACCATAAAAACTATAGCTTTGAATTAATTATAAAAAAGCATATATCTAAAGTTACAACAAAAACTTTGTACTAAAACATACCATATTATATATTCACCGTGTAGATCTACTCATGTGGAGTCCAAAAAATTTATATTTTCCATTTTATGATTTTTCTATGATTTACTATGATTTTTTCAAACATTCAACCGAAATAAATAAAAAAAAAAAAACAAAACTGCCTTTTAAAACCACGTATAATCGGTCGGGAGGTAAAATGAACGATTTTAATAGTTGAGAGAGGTGATTTACCCGGTTTTGAAGTTTAAGGAGGAAAACTAGACTTTGAGGATAGTTCAGAGATAAAATAGACCTTTTCTTTTTAAAAACCTCGGGAATTCCGTTTCACGTGCACGATTTCTGACTTACTAGACTTTAGCGAAACTGGAAATCTAACTTATACAGTATAAGTTATATAACCATTTTTATACGGTACAGATTCAGTGTCAAGATTCTTATTCATGGAGGGATGCCGTGCGCATTCCTTGATCGTACAACCTTTCCTTAAATGAGCTTCAAATCGACCATACCTATGCTATGTGAATTTTTTTTAGTTTTAACATTTTTTAAAAACTAATTTTAAATATAACATCTCCGATTTTTTTCACGAAAACTTTTGACACTTTTGGTCGCGATTGGACAATATTTACCAAATAAGGCGAAAGTGCTACTATTCATCGGTTGCCATGCATTTTTTCAATCTAAACAAGCCTGAGCTTCAAATCGACCATACCTATGCTATGTGATTTTTTTTTAGTTTTAACACTTTTTGAAAGCTAATTTTAAATCTAACACCCGATTTTTTTTAAAACTAACACTTTTGGCGCGGCTAGTTCCTGCGCGCCAGGGTCATGCATGTGTCTGGGGCCAAATAAAACCCGGCGACCGAACCCGACGGCCGCACTGCCGCCACGCTGCGATCTTGACCCGCTAGGGTCATGGCGTGTCCGGGCCAAATAAAACCCCGGTGAGCCCCGACCATCGCACCCTTTAGCCCATCGCCCGCCCACCATGCCATGCCGCCATTACGCCATCGCGCCCTTGCATGCCCGCTCACGCCACTCCCCCCTTGCCCGCCCTTGCCTTGCGCCCTCACGACACCAACAAGACTGGCAGCCACGAACCCCGACGCGTCAAGGCCGCCCGCTCCTAAGGTACCTTCCTCTGAGTTTAATGTTATTATGATTATTATTGTTTTAGGATAATTAGTTTGTGATATACGTATGTAGTTTTTAGGTTTTAAGTTAGGATTTTGGGTTTAGTGATTGATTAGGTATTTATTATTTAGCTTGTAGTTATTTATTTAGTTAGGGATTGTAGCGATGCGGTTGTCACGGCTAGATCCGGTTATTATTTAGTTTATAGTTAGTTATTTAGTTAGGGATTGTAGCGAGCCGGTCGAGGGATCGTATTCCATTCGAACAATTTCGATCGTGGGTTCATCCCGCCGTGGCCGTAACGTTGAGCGTAACTGGCTCCCTCGCTTCTTGGTTGGCTTTATCGTACTACGATCTCTAGCCTCTATCCACGTCCCTAGCATATGACCATCGGGCTTTACCTCTTTTGCGCGCTTGTTTATCCTAGCCTTGTGCCGATTTATTTTTGGGTTAGAGTAAATATTTTACTTTGCAATGCTATATAATGTTAATTTGAATTTTGTTAATTTGAGTACTCTAACGCTTTGTTTATCAATTTGTAAAAGGATGGCCCATCCCACGCAGCACCCGTTGTACCCTATTCTTGAGATGGAGTACGACGACCAGCACCGAGCACACATCTTGAGTGACAACGACACACATGTGGCCTTGCCTCCTTTGAGGCCCCGCACGCACACCAGGGCGCACCAGTGGGACGAGCGTTACGCACCGTACATACGGCGTGCCGGCTTCCTCGAGCTTATCCATGTTATCAACCACGGTCTTTCGCCCTTTGACCCAACACTACTTACTGCAGCTGTAGACAGGTGCGAGTGCATTCTTTGTACACAAACTTTCTTGTAATAAATTTGAGGCAACTAACAGTTATTCTATTCTATTCTTATAACAGGTGGAGGCTTGAGACCCACATGTTTCACCTACCTTGTGGCGAGATGACCTTGACGTTGCAGGATGTGAAGGCTATTTTAGGCCTTCGGTTGGGGGGACTTCCAGTGACAGGGATAGTTGACAACGATCACTGGAGGGAGCAGGTGGCTCAGTTTACTGGCTTTCTTCCACCGGACGACGAGGCTTCCAAGAAAAATAAGTGAGAAATTCAAGCCTATTTAATATTTGCATCGGTTTTCTGCAGCCATCGGGTCTCATTTTCTTTGGTAAATTTTAGGAAAACTTCTGGTATTTCGTCGTCCTGGATCACGGAGCGCTTTGATTACTTGGACCCACAGGCTGAGGAGGCTCAGATCGACAGGTTCGCTCGAGTTTGGCTCTGACACTTTCTTGGTGATTTCCTCTTTCCAGACGCCTCGGGCAACACCATCAGCTGGATCTTCCTTGACATACTACGCCAGCCGTGGGAGAATATAGCGACATACAGCTGGGGCAGCGCTGTCTTGGCATGGACGTATCGACAGCTATGCGTTGCCTGTCGTCGCACCTCAGGGTATGCGAACCTTGGGGGTTGCTCGTACCTAATCCAGGTTTGGTGTTGAGAACGATGGCCCGTTGGAAGGCCCCTTAATATGGGTTTACCGGTAAGTATTTGGGTTCATTATATTCTTCGATATGGTTACATATGATGAGTTTATTAATGGCTAATTCATTATCGTATTCAATGCAGCAATAGAACGGGCAGGATGCACTCTCTACAGCTCTGTTTATCTGGACGGAATCAGAGTTAGTTAGAGGGAATGCGAGGCGCAAGTACAGAGAGTACACGGACGGTCTCGATGTCCTGACATAGCACCAGGTTACGCTCTTTTTACTATCATATCTGTGTCTTGTTCGATCTACACTATATCACAGCCTAACTCAATTACGAAATGTTCAGGTGCATTGGTGTCCTTGGGATGCTCCGGAGTTCCAGAACTATCTCAGTCCTGTCACTAGGGACGAGTCAGAGGAGTATCGCTGCAACATCCCTCTTATTTTCTTTCACGTGGTCGAGATTCACTTGCCCGTCAGGGTCTGTAGACAGTTTGAAAGAATGACAGGCTGCCCACCACCGTTTTACTCCACCAACCAAGGATTGCACGGGTGCGTTATCGAATAAATAACAGAGCTACAATCCAGAGGTGTGTGTGGTAGAACTAACATCGTTTTGTTGCAGTTTTGACCGCAGGAAGAGGTATAAGACCAAGTATTGACGCGTGACACACAACGCACATCTACTCATGGGAGACTAGGGAACGAGCAGCCGGTCCATGCGGGTCCTCCACACGACCAGCACACCTTCGACGAGTACCTGCGCTGGCTTCACAAGTCTACGAGGACACATATCAAGCCCCCGTACACCGAGGAGGCGATTGACGAGGACTCGGAGGAAGATATGATCGAATATGTGTACGACGTTGCCACTAGAGAGGACACACAGCTACAGAGAGCCCCGCTACAAAGATACGTGGTAAGATACTTGAATGGTATAATTTGTTATCCATTTGGTATTAATTATGTATACTAAAACTGTTCAACCGCGTTTCTAAACCCAGACGACACAATTGTCAAGGATGTCCAACGAAGCAGCGTACCGGCTTCACGAGTCTAGAGGGCAGGGGCCAGGCGTTCTCGAGACTTTTGTGGAGATAAACATAAACTCGTCCGTTCTGAAATTGTTTCTTTAGTGTATATGCGTTTGTGAAATGCGCTAACTTTAACGGCTATTTATGCAGAAGGTGAAGAAGAGCTGTAGGAAGCTAGCTCAAAAGTTGAGCTGCATGGACACTCCTTATGAGGAACCGCCAATCCTAGCGCGGTCGGGTGGTACGTCTTCAGCCTCTTTGAGGACGCCAGCCGACTCTTCTCAGCCGGTGACAGGCCGGTGACAGGTGCCACTTCCGCAGTGCGTACACCACCTCATTATAGCGTTGGGAAGGACCCTGCAATCGATGACGACGATGACGACGACAACGACAAGTGGGAAGATTGGCCGCAGGACGAGATCGGCATGTCTCAGCTAGGTGGTGCCTTGCTTGGCACCCAAGGAGCATCACATGTACTAACAAAGGTAGTTTCTTTAAATACGTAGGCTACATGAACTAACGATCACAAAGAATTCTAAGTAATCGTGCATATCACATATTTGCAGGGTATGAGCCATACGCACCGGTGACGCGACCACACCGACGTTGGCTACACTCCCAATGTGTTGCCAACAAATCCGAAGAGACAGAGGCGTCCGAGGAATCCTTACTGTCCTGGGTCTTAGTTTGTTAGGTCCAACTATTATTGGGGTCCGAAACTTGCAGGCTTATTTGGTTATGTTATGTCGAACTTAAGTCAAACTTATGTGGCAGCTTGTCAACTTATGTTATTTGCTTCATATTCGTTTCAATGCGTCGCGACATCACTGCTTGCGAGATTAAGTAGCAACTAGTTCAAAAAAAGGCAGTCCCGGGGTATCTCGACACCGGTGGCCGGCGTCTTACGCGAGGGGTCGAGGAAGCCGGGGTCCATGGTCGCGTCGCCGTCGATCCTACAATATGGGGCCAAAAAGGCAAATTCGTTCTCTTAAAAAATATTCGTTTCAATCCGATCTAATTTTTCGTAATCGATTAGTTAACATGGTGGTTAACCGTATTACGAAAGACGGAAAAATATCAATTGCCTTATCAATTTCTCTATTCGGCCTTGAAAAAATTTAACAAAATATATAAACAAATTCACTATTCATTTTACGTCAAACAATACTTACAATAACTCCCACCATCGGCGCGACGCGTTCCTATTAAACCGTCCAGGTACCGCCGGGTTGGCGGCGGGCGTGGCGGGCAGGCTTGCTGCTCGGGCTGGCATGACAGGCCGCGGGGTTTTATTTGGCCCAGACACGCCATGACCCCTGGCGCGGCACTGCCGCGCCAAGATCGCTGGCGCGGCAGGCCCTGCCCCGTCAGCGGTCAGCGCTCCTGGTCGCCGCCACGTCAGCCATGTGCCGCGCCACCATGCATGGCACGGCACAGACATTTGGCCGCGCCAGGAAAATAGGCGCGGCCAAAAGTGTTAGTTAAAAAAAAACGAAAATATTAGATTTAAAATTAGTTTTAAAAAGTGTTAAAATTAAAAAAAAAATTGCTATGTGTGGAGGAAGCCGGCCATTGCGGCTTGGTAAGAAGAAAACAAGGATTTTTGTTTCTGGAACAACGCTTCATTAATTAAGCAGCAATATTATAATCAAACTGCAGACAAGGCTGCAAGAAGGTAGGGGGCCTCAGCCCAAACAAAAGAGGCTAAAAAAGAAGCAGCATGTTGAGCGCATAATAAGTGTGCTGCAAAATTCGCTCATCTTTTAGTGTGGAGAATCTGAAACGAGGTGAAGTTGGCAATCATCTCCTCAACATCATCCAGAGTTGCCTTGATCTCCAAGCGTTGGTTTCCTCTCTTCTACCACGGTGTCACCAGTTCCTGGGAATTGGTTTCCAGCACGATGTGTTCATTCGTTCCTTCTGGAATACTTCGGATGCCATCCCGAAGGGCTTCAGCTTCCGCCATAAGAGCCGATCCCGTGGAGTTCAACCACTGTGCCAATGCTGTTGCCAATGAGCCTGTGCTGTCACGCACTACCACCCCGGTTGCGCCAGTGTTTGACTCATGAGAGAACGCCCCAGTGCCCGAGATCCGGCAACCACCAGCGCATCACCTGCATCGCCTCTCCTCCAGTGTCCGCCTTGTATCCACTGACGAGTTCACTGTAGGAAGAAAACATGAATTTTTGTCATCACACACTTATGATTTTTGTTTGGTTCAACCATGGTAACAGGGCGGACAGGAGCGCAATGGGTTACCGATCAAATCGGACGTAATCTACCTACTGAAGCATGCATGCGTCACTACTGATCACAGACGAGACCATGAGAGAAAATCAAAGGTAGAACACCAACAATTCTATCGAACTGCAAAGTGTGCCAATGCAAAGTAGCACATTGTCACAAGAGCCAGCTTTATTCATGGAAAACAATTTTTTTTCTGGTTCTGATAGCACTTTTTGCATACCACCTGCAACAACAATGCTTGTACGGATTATTACGTATATATAACGCAAATAAAAATCAAACGGCCTTATTATCCTATACCACGACACCTCCCCTTTTTGTTCAACAAAATTTAACATTCAATTTACACACGCTGGAAAATGGTCCGACAAGCTTGCATGCACTTGCACACCCCGACGATCTCCGGCCGTCACGCACGTCTCTGAAGAAATTAATAAACGACGCCGCCCGCGCCTCCCACAAACGTATGCCACCATGGTACACGGACATCACACACACACACACACAACGTTTGCGCCGAAACCACACTGTGTTTGTCTCTATTCGGAGTGCGACAGCGGCTCGCCTGGTGGCCGCGACGCCGCCGCCGGCTCTCCGTCGCTCAGGAACGACGAGGCGGTGCTGCTGTCGTCGGCGGTGTCGCGCTCCCGGAGCTCCTCGATGCGCGCGAGCGCCTCCTCGAGGCCCCAGCGCCGGCCCACGTCGGGCTCGCAGCAGCCGAGCCCGACCTGGAGCAGCTTCACCATCTGGCCCTCGCCGCTCCGCGTCCCCCGCATGTCGTTGTCGAACACCTCGCCGGTCCACTCCTCCCGCACCACCGAGTTGACCCACCCGGCGAGGTCGGTGCCCGCGGGGCCCTGCCGGAGGTAGTTGGCGGGGAACTTGCCCGTCAGCACCTCCAGGATGAGGATGCCCAGGCTCCACACGTCGCTCTTCCGGCCCGGCCGCCCGCCCTGCGCCGCGCACTCGGGGGACTTGTACGCTACCATCACCTGCGCCGCGTGCTGCGGCGTCACCACGGGCGCCAGCGCGTAGTCGCTCAGCAGCGGCTCGCAGGTGGCGTCCAGCAGGACGTTGGAGGACTTGAGGTGCCCGTGCGGCACCATCAGCATCGGCAGCTTCTCGTACAGGTGCGCCAGCCCGCGCGCCACGCCCTTGATGATCTTCAGACGCTTCGGCCAGTCCAGCGGCGGCAGGCTCGACCTCGTACCTGCAGTTCCACCATCAGTCAGGCCGCAGCGACAATTCATTGTATGTCTTGCGTTGCTTGCTTACCGCCATGGAGCACGTGAGCCAGGCTGCCGTTCACCATGTAGTCCGTGACGAGCAGCTTCTCCTCCTTCTTGTAGAGGTAGGCGATGACGGGGAGGAGGTTGGGGTGGACGAGCTGCCCCAGCTGGCGCATGTGCTCCGAGAAGTCCTCGCGCCCGACGCCGTTCATGTCCTTGAACCGCTTCACCACCAGGGACGGCCCGTCCAGCAGGGTCGCCTTGTACGACGCGCCGAAGTTGCCGCTGCCCAGCACCTCGGCGGAGGCACGGAGCAGGTCCTCCAGCTCGAACCTCGCCCGCCCCTCCTGGATGAACACCAACTTCCCGTGGTCGTCGCGCCGACCGCCACGCTTCCCCGCCGCGGGCGTCACCACGCCGCCGTGCTGATCCATGCCACCCTGCGGTCACGAACGTTACTTGCATCGATATATACGGAAACGTCAACAGCAGTTTGAACCGGGCTGGCAGGTACATGCTGCCGTGTGCATATACCTTCTCGATCTTGACGGCCGGAGCATAGGTGACCTTGGCGGCGTCGGGGCTACCGCCTTTTGTTTCGGCGCCTCCAGCATAGCGTGCCTCGTTGCGGCGGGCCTGGACCGCTGCGATGACGCCGGCAACGGCCAGGACTGCACCGATCGCGACCACCACGATGGCGATGGTTATCAGTATATTCATGCTCCCGGATGACGATTTCGTGGACTTGGAAGGGGAAGGGCATGGAGTGCCGACCAAGTCGCCACAGAGAAGTTTGTTCCCTGAAGATTCCAATGACAAGGTTTGGATCAGAGGGCATGTGAGACAAGGACCAAAGATGAACACTTTAAGAATTAGCTACATGCTAGCGGTAATATTCTGAGCTCAATTGCTCATTTCTCGTTGTAAAATGAAATGAAATTTCAGTAGCGTTTCAGTGTGCAGTGGAAGCACCAACAGATTCACATGCTACTTCCTCGCTTCAAAATACTGTATAGGATGTACTAGGATTTTTTTAAAAAATCCAACTTCATAAATTTTGACCAATATTCAGATTATATGCATCATTAGTTAATAAAAGTTACATGAGTTGATTCACATTACATGTATCTTCTATTATGATTTGATTTTGTAGAAATTGATGATACTTGCTCCGACAGGGAAAAATGCGAGTCTAAAATTCCAATGAGGAATTAATAAGTGGAAAAGTCACATATCCCTACTACTGTCATGCTTGTGGGAACAAACAAGAATGGTAGATTAGTACTACCACTTTCCTGGAATATAAGCCATCTTACAAATTCTAGAACATATGTGATGTGACCCATCCTGGTTACCATGTTTGGTTTGGTAATAGAAATTAATGGTAGATATATATATAAATGCTACCTTTTTAAAACTGAGTTCAAGGGTTAGTTCATTTTGATTTCCTTATAATTTGAGAGGAATTTTGAACGCTTGGATATTTCAGGAAAGAGGGAGTAGGAAACACAGGAATGCCGACTAGTGGGGGAAGAAGCGGTTTTGTGGAAATTTTCTAGATAGTCGAACACATATAAAGATGATCCATAATACCCACACTACCCACCTACAATGCCTACATTTGCATTCTTTTTGGGACATAACTTGGACCATAGAATTGCATGCTTTTTTTTTGGGGCAGAGGGAATATATTGCAGGAGTAGTTGATAGTCAAAGTATGCTTCTAAAGACTTCTCCCGACACTAACAATATACCTTATAATAGGAAATGGGGTTATTAGCAATGAATATTACAAGCTTTAAGTACCACAATTATTCCATTTTTTTCTCAATTGTGCTATGTTACATTCCATATATATATATATATATATATATATATATATATATATATATATATATATATATATATATTTGCATAATATAATATAAACTTGTGACAACTGAACTACCGTGGTAGAGAAAATTTTAAGCAAATTATGTTTATAACCACATAAATGATTTAACTATTTGGAGCTCCTTTTCTATTATCACACCAAAGGTAAGACTAGACACGGAATGAGTTGTACCATGTTGATTCTAAAGGGTGAGTTCAAGACACATATTCTTAGGCCTAGCACGAATCCAGTTTCTTGAAGGAACGTTTCTAAGGAGAAATCGATTTTGACTCTGCTATGAAATAGGGGTTTTAGGCTTCTGGTCTCTAAGATGTATAGTCTGAAAAATGCTTCTAACTATGACTCCAGGTCCTGGAACAATTTGCTATGAATTCTTTTGTTTCTGGAGCAAATTAGTTTGGAGAATTCTATCAAACACAAGCTTAATGTCTTTGGCCTGGGTATTTTTACTAATCCAACAACTGATTTATGGTCCATCGACCGACTGATGCAATGGTTCGCCTCACTACATAACCCTAACAATCCTTCACATCCTCGGCCTAACTCTAGAATCATGTAGAGCGACAAACATGATGCTTCTTATGCTCACAACTCGCCTATTATTGCCTTCACCAAGGTGCAATCAAGCCCCCATTCTCACTCCAACATCTCATAACCTCAAGTTGCTTTTGCCACTGTGCCTTCTTGCCACCCACGATCCTTCCTCATCTCTAGACGCTCCTTGCCACCTGACTCATTGCTAAGACTAATCCTAGTTCAGTAGGTTGTTGTTGTGATGCCTCCACCTTTAGTGGCAAAGACACCAGCCGACGACCCAAGGCGGCCGCTTGGGCTCGTCATCGAAGTGCAAAGGGATTTTTTGTTTGTATCAAAGAGAGACACTATATGTCTGTAGGTAAATATTTATGCATAATAAGAATCGTCTGGGCTCTTAGAAGTTTCTGGCTCTGTACCTGTCCAACTCCCATGCTCGATTGGCATCGCTTGAACACTAAACACTCATTATTGTGTAGAAGAAAAACATCATAATCATCTTCCCATAAAAGTGTTCCAATGTTCGACTTATATTATTATAGTTAGGATTCACCTTTGTAAGAAAAATAGACCCTAGGCCCATTTATTTTTGATTTTGGTGTTTGATGATCAACACAACCAAATTGGACTAATGAATTTGCAAGTGATTGTTGTGTAGTCCAATAGAATGCAAGACGTGACTTGGACGAAGGCGACGTGATGATCCGATGATCAACACTATAAGCAAGACCCTAGAAGCACAAGAGAAGACCCAAGATATCAAGCATAGTCCAATCACGAAGATAGAAACCAAGCGGATGCAAGATCACGAAGAAACATGCTCGGTAGAGTGACCAGCCGTAGCGACCGGACGCAACCCTTATAGCGACCGGACGCTCCGATCAGTTGCGCGGCAATAGAAGGCATCTGCAGCAGCGACCGGATGCTGAGTACTAAAAGTGACCGGACCCACCGATGGCACTGTTCATCATCCCGTAACACACTCAGTACTGACCGGACGCTGGCGGCAAATCGACCGGACGTAGAATTGCAGTGTCCGATCGAGTACAGAGAGGTTCCAGCGGCGAAATTGCGACCGGACGCGTTCGGTGGCATGTGACCGGACGCCATCAGCGTCCGATCGGTTGATCGCGCTCTAACGGTCGAGACGACCGGATCGCGTCCGGTCAGGACGACAGCAGCGTCCGGTCAGTAGCAGAAAAGCGGGATTTCATCCCCAACGGCTACTTTCTCCATGGGGCTTATAAATACACCCCCGCCGGCCATTTGGTATGAGTGGAGCTGAGGAAATATATCTAGGGTGTTGATACACCATTTTAGTGATCTCCACTTGTATAGTGCTTAGTGATTCATTATGTGATTAGCGTAGGTGCTTTGCGAAGTGCTTAGGTTGATTAGACCACCGCTTATGCGCTTGCTCTAGGTTTAGGACTAGTGTTTAGTAAGATTTGCATACCTCTTATCATTCGGTGCTTGCGCACACCATTGTTATACATCGGAGGGGCTTGTAGTCTTACGAGATCACACCAACCATGTTTGTGATGTGGCCACCACGGTGTACCGGATGGAACAAGGCCCGCGGCGTTTCGGCTGGAAGCTTGATAGTGAAGACGGCAGGAAGCATCCGGGAGAGGCTTGCCGGAAGGCACGTCGGAGACCCACTTGCATGTGGGGAAGGTTCGAGGCTATCCACGGAGTTACCCGACCGGGAGCTTGGCCCTTGCGAGGGGCTCCAACGAGGACTAGGGGGAAGCTTGCGCGCTTCTCGATACCTCGGTAAAAATACCGGAGTCATCGATGGGAGCTTGCATATCTCTACTTTGTTCTTTAGCTTCCACATTTACATTGTTTGTATTACTCCTTTTGCGGTAGAGATAGTAACACACTAGCAAAACTGTAGTTGCACATTTAGATAGTTTATCTTTTGCATAGGTTTTGCTAAGGGTAGAAAAAGAGGCCATAGTTTAGAAGTCAAATTTTAAGTTGCCTAATTCACCCCCCTCTTAGGCGTCACGGTCCCCTTCAAGTGGTATCGGAGCCGGTTGGCTCAATTTGGACCTTTGGCTTAATCACCGTTGAGCCGACGCTATTTAGAGTGGTTGGGATGGATACCTCTAGGCCTCCGCACTTTGACAACACTAACTTCCCCTACTATAGAGCTAGAATGGCTTGTCATCTTGAGGCGGTAGATTTAGGTGTTTGGAGAGTCAATCGTGATGGGATGAAACCCATTAAGAATCTTGATAAACCCACAAAGAGTGAAGAAAAAGAAATGCATTTTAATGCTAGAGCTAAAAATTGCTTGTTTAAATCTTTTAGCATGGATGTGTTTAACCAAATGTTCACTTTAAATACGACACATGAAATTTGGTTAAAACTCCAAGAGATCCATGACGGCACAACTAATGTCCGTGAGCAAAAATATTATCTAGCTAAACAAAATTATGATTCCTTTGAAATGAATGATGATGAGCTTGTTCGTGATATGTATTCACGTTTGAATCTAATTATCAATGAGCTCCATTCAATAGGATAAACAAAGCTAGATGATACGGACATCATGAGGAAGATCATCTCCGTGCTACCACAAAAGAAATATGCAAGCATCATCACCATTCTTCATAACATGGAGGACTTGAGCACTATGACCCCGGCCATAGTCATTGGCAAGATAATGGCATTTGAAATATCACGCAAGATGAGTTAAGAAGAAGCCTCTTCATCAAGCAAAGGCAAAGCTCTTGCATGTAGCAAGAAAAAGAAGATGAATGGCAAGAAAGTTGAGACAAGCTCAAGCTCAAGCTCCTCAAGTGAAGATGAAGAAGAAGATGATGAAGATTCAAGTGATGATGATCAATCTTCCTCCTCCACCACCAACCTTGATGAAGAATCAATCAAACTTATCAACAAGGTGGAGAAGATGATCCAAAGGCTCAATGTTAGAGGTGTGCCTATTCAAATTCAAGATTTCATCTTCACCAATCAAAGAAATGAGCAAAGAAAGAGAGGATGCTATGGATGCGGTTAGTTGGGGCATTTTGTGAAAGTTTGTCCAAACAAGCCCACACCCAAGACAAAGAAGAAGGCGTGCAAGGACAAAGCCCTCACATCAATAAGATCATGGGATAATTCTTCAAGCGAAGAAGAAGACTATCACAAGAGGCGAAGTCACAAGCACTCATCATCAAGTCTTCACGTGTGTGCCTTATGGCATGAGGTAACAAAAAATTTATCCCTAGTGATAGTGACAATGATAGTGATGATGAGCTACCTTCTTATGATAAAATTGTGCAAGAAAATCTTAACTTTGCTAAAGTGTGCACTAGTCAACAAAAGAAGCTTAAAAATTGAAAGAAAAACTAGATAGCTCACAACAAGCTTATGCTACTTTGCTTGAACAATATGAAACTTTTGCCAATCTTAATATGGAGCTATCTACTAAAATTGAGCAACTTGAGACTAGTGCAAACACAAATAATTACACAATCAATGATGAGCAACTTGTAAAGAAAAATAATTAAAAAAAAAAGTTAGCTAGCTCACAAGATGCTTATAAAAGTTTGCTTGCTAAAATAAAAACTATGTATAAACATTGTGATGAGCTAACTAATAAAGTTGCTAATCTTGAAGCCGTCGGTTCTACCCCCATGGAGGCACCTAAAAACAAAAGTTCTATCTTTGACATGCCTAAAAAGGATGCCTCTACTTCTTGCAATGATTTATGTTTAGGCTCACCCTTGTGCAACCAAGTTTATGTTGAGAAAGTTATTTTAGATACATGCACACAAGAGGTTGCAATGGAGAATGAGTAACTCAAGCAAGAACTAGCTCGCCTCACCAAGGACTTAACTCAAGTAAAAGGCAAGACGAAGCAAGCCCAACTTCATCAAGATAACACCATCAAGGGAGTGAAGAAGTTTGATGAAGGACAAACTATGGTTTGTTATATATGCCACAAAGAAGGACACAAGTCCTATGAGTGCAAGGTGAAGAATGGGAGAGGAGCAAAGAATAAAGAGAAAAAGCAAACAAGTAAGCTCTCCAACACCTACACCAACAAGGTGGATAAGAAGGCCTCACACCATACTTATTAAAGAAGAAGAAAAATAACAAGGTGGTGGCTATCAAGGTGAACAAGCAAGCCAACAATGAGGTTAAACGCTTTTGGGTGCTAAAGGAAATTATTTCAAACATGAAGAGCACCAAGAAGGTTTGGATCCCGAAAGGGAAGTGAGAATTCTAATGGACTTTGGAGAATTTGAAGACTTGGCAAAGTATGGGTGCATTTCATGGGGTGCATCATTATGGACAAAGTCATTGCCAAGTGGGTTAGTGAATACTATGGACCCAAATTCCCCTTCCCATGTTAGGTAACTAGATATAATTTCTTTTAATTTGTATTTTCTAAAAGTGGTATTTCTTATAATTGGTATCTTTTAGCATCTAGTTACTTTTGATGCCTAGGTTTGTATTTGTATGCTTATATCTTTTGTCATGCATACACTAGGTATATCTTATGATAGGCTTGCTCGGTTTCACTTCTAACCCTTGGAGCAAACCTACATGGTTTAAATTGTTTAGGAGCACGGCATATAGCTTGTTTTACAATTGTTCATCTAATATATGCCAAAGTCCAAATTGTAGATAATTTATCTTGAATATCACCTTCGAAAATGATTCTCACATTCATGTGATGTCATCTTTCAAAGTGGTAATTTTTATTCTAAATCAATGTACATGTCTTCTACAAGTATTCCATACTTGTGTGCACAAATTTAGGGAGGTTACTCTATAAGTTGGATGCTTTGAGACTAACACCTTTTCAAGCTATCATGTGTGTAGTAGTCTCATTGCAAGGAAAATGGAGTCCCTGGAGTTAAGCATCATACTTCAAAATATCCACCATCTATTGTAAGTGGTAGAAATCAAATTGGTTTCCACATGTGGTATTTCTAAATGATATCATCATGTTTATTTCACTTTGGTATTTATATGCTTTCTCCATGCATTATATAGATTAAACTCTCTTAAGCATTAATTTACCAATTATGCATAAACTATATTCTCCATCATATGTATGCATATATTTAGGGAGAACTTAGTCTATGTAATGTGAGAGTCAAATTTTGTGGCATATTCTACTCCACATACAAGGGATCACAAAATTTGACCCTTCCTTGTGCTACTAATGTCTTCCTTTTCGGTGTTTGATTCCAAAGGGGAAGAATTTAGAGGACCAAAAGCAAGCATTAATTTGTAGAATCAAAAGCAAGATCATAATAATTTACAAGTGGTAATGGTCTATAATTGGTAATGGTCCCGATAGGGGAGGATAGTGGATTATTGATTAGTCTATGTAATGGGGAGAATTTGTAGGATCAAAAAGCAAGGCTTAAATCCATAATGCCATATGGGGACATTTGCAAGGACAAGATAAGTTTTCAAAAGATGTTTACATGTGATACCTTTTAGCTTTACAATTGGTATCTTCAATTAGTATCTTTTAGTCTTACAAGTGGTATCTTTTAGCATCATATAACCTTGCCCTTTGTATTGCATCATAGCAAGTAGTTAGTTTTTAAATTCTAAATTATTATTATTTGCTTGCTTTGGTCATGTTGTCATCAATCACCAAAAAGGGAGAGATTGTAAGAAAAATGGACCATAGGTCCATTTACTTTGGATTTTGGTGTTTGATGACCAACACAACCAAATTAGACTAATGAATTTGCAAGTGATTGTTGTGTAGTCCAATAGGGTGCAAGACGTGATATGGACGAAGGTGACATGATGATCCGATGATCAACACCATATGCAAGACCCTAGAAGCACAAGAGAAGGCCCAAGATATCAAGCATAGTCCAAACACAAAGATAGGAACCAAACCGGATGCAAGATTACGAAGAAACATGCTCGATAGAGTGACCGGACGCAGCCCTTATAGCGACCGGACGCTCCGATAAGTTGCGCGGCAAGAAAAGGCGTCTGCAGCGACGAGAGAGGTTATAAAGTGACGGACCCACCGATGGCACGCTCATCATCCCGAAACACACTCGATCTTGACGGACGGCGTCAAATCGATGGCATGTGAACCGCAACGTCCGATCGAAATGGCAGGTTCTAAGCGCGAATCGCGATTGATCGCGCTCGTGGCATGTAACCGGACGCCATCAGCGTCCGATCAGTTGATCGCGCTCTAACGGTCGGGACGACTGGACGCGTCCGGTCAGGATGACAACAACGTCCGGTCAGTAGCAGAAAAGCGGGATTTCGTCCCCAACGGCTACTTTCTCCATGGTGCTTATAAATAGACCCCCAACCGGCCATTTGGTATGAGTGGAGCTGAGGAAACGTATCTAGGGTGTTGATACATCGTTTTAGTGATCTTCACTTGCATTGTGCTTAGTGATTCATTAGGTGCTTTGCGAAGTGATTAGGTTGATTAGACCACCGCTTATGCGCTTGCTCTAGGTTTAGGCCTAGTGTTTAGTGAGGTTTGCATACCTCTTATCATTTGGTGGTTGCGCGCACCATTGTTGTACATCGGAGGGCCTTGTAGTCTTACGAGATCACACCAACCGTGTTTATGGTGTGGCCGCCACCGTGTACCGGAGGGAACAAGGCCCGCAGCGTTTCGGTCGGAAGTTTGATAGTGAAGACGGCGGGGAACATCCGGGAGAGACTTACCGGAAGACACGTCGGAGACTCACTTGCGCGTGGGAAAGGCATGAGGCTATTCATGGAGTTAACCGACCGGGAGCTTGGCCCTTGCGAGGGGCTCCAACGAGGATTAGGAGGAAACTTGCGCGCTTCTCGATATCTTGATAAAAATACCGGAGTCGTCGACGCGGGTTTGCATATCTCTACCTTACTCTTTAGCTTCCACATTTGCATTGTTTGTATTACTCTTTTTGCGGAAGAGATAGCAACACCCTAGCAAAACCATAGTTACACATTTAGATAGTTTATCTTTTGCATAGATTTTGCTAAGGATAGAAAAAAAGACCATAGTTTAAAAGTTGAATTTTAAGTTGCCTAATTCACTTCCTCTCGGTGTCACGGTCCCCTCCACCCATCTTAAAACATCTAACGTTGATTCTATAAAATTTTAAGCTATGCTTGATTCTGTGCAGTCAGGTTCGATTTAACCGATACGTTTGGCCATGTTCGATCTTTGACTTAGTGAGACGCAAAGCATTAATATATTCGTCTTTGGATGATGCACCATGACCTTAGAAACAACTTTGTTTTTTCTCAAACTTTTTTGGAGCCCATGGTTTTTTTGGTTTCTTGAGGCATCAACCTACCCAACCAGGTTTTGCTAAAACACAATTTAAATTAAAATCAGGTACCTATTGACCACAGGGCATGCATATAAAGAGCAACTTAAACCCAAAGTAGTTTCCAATATTACAAAGTCCTAATAAATTAATAAATCCTAGTACTAAAGTACTAATTGCACATCCCATCAGTAACACAGAGAACTCTTCAAAACTACTCCACCATGGCAAAATTTGCCAAACAATAAACAGAGAAAACGTAACCATTGCATGCATCAAAGAGAAACTCATGTCAACGACAGGAAAAAGCCATGACGAACTAACTCACCTTGGAGTTGGACATTGGCGCCCAACTTCCGGAGCCCTTCCGGGACGGGCCCGGAGAAGTTGTTGTTGGAGAGGTCGACGGACAGCAGATGGCCGGACGAGGCGATGGAGCTCGGTATCGGCCCGGTGAAGGCGTTCCCGGAGAGGTTGACCTTCTGAAGCCCCCTCAGCGCCGCGAACGCGCCGTCGGGTATCTCCCCGGCGAGCCTGTTCTGGTACAGGAAGAGGAACCTGAGCGCGGGGAGCGCGGACACGTCCGGGAACGCGCCAGTGAGGCTGTTGTTGCTGAGGCTGAGCGATCGCAGGCCCTGGAGCGGCGCCAGCAGCGCGAGGTCCGGCGCGGCGCCCTGCAGCCGGAGGCCCTCCAGCTTCAGGACCACCACTCGGCCATTGATGCAGCGCTTCACCCCAGGCCACTGCGTCGCGTTGACGACGCAGGGCGCGCCCCGGGCGGTCGCCCACTGGTTCAGCTCCCTCGGCGGGCCGCCGTCCGGCCCCCGCAGCGCCGCCCTGAACTCGTTCAGCACGTCAGCCTCCGACTTGGCCTGAGCCGCCACGGGGACGGTGCACGCCGCGAGGACGAGCGCCGCGGCTAGGAGGAGCCGCCCGGCCGCCGCCGCGGCGGCGGCCTCGCCGGCCATGGACACGGCAGGCGGAGACGATGTGTGGTCGTGCGTGGAAGCGTGCGGCGCACTAGCTTTGGCAGCGACGTGCTCGAGGGGTGGAGAGGGTGCGCATGGCGCAGGGAGGCGGGCGGACAGCGGACACGGCTCCCGCGCCGGCCTCGTGGCGAGCTAAGAATAGGGGCGCGGGCTGTGTTACCGAGGCGGGTGCGTTTGGGAGTCGCCGCTGCGACCGCAACGTCTTTCTTGTTGCCGTCGTTCGCTCGCGCAGGCTGTCAGCTGACCTGATGATTACCGCATCAGTAACAAACGCATTGCAGTATACTAGTATTCGAAGCTTCTGATTTCATCAGTTGGTTCGCGACGCAAGTCTGGTGCCAGTGCCAGCGGACGAACTTGAAACCCAACTCAACTTTTCTTCTCATTTTTCTTTTGGATTGGACCCTAAATTTTCACTGTCATTTACAGCGTGGAAATGGGGTACAATTTTTTACAAGCGGTTTGGAACTAGCTCACGCAAATATTAGTACTTTTCATTCAAGCAGCTGTTGTGCCCGTAGCACTGCGAATCGAGCGGTGAAACCGACGAGTACTCCGAAAGAGAAATGTAAGCATAAAGTTAAAGAAATTGCTATATTCTAGGTGTCTGAACTTTTAAGATTTTTTGGATAATAATTTTACACAATCAAATAGTACAATTAAAAAACAACTTACAAGAGATACTTTATTGTTTTTTCTATAGCCAAACAGCGACCGACAGTGGTGTGAAAATTGCCACACGGGCTGTGCAGACAACTTCTGTGTGACACGTTGTTCAGTCGGTCCTTGCAGAGCTATAAAGAGTCGTCTGACCTGTGGAGACGTTTCACTTGGTGTCCGTGCATTCGCACTCGTTTTTTCAACCGATGCACACTCACCGTCTGCTGCCTACCAAACGAGGACCGTACTGCACTGCACCTGCAGCCCTGCACCCATCCATAGCTATTTTTTAGTGTGTCCTGATGATGGAATAAACGAGACGCACGACGGCACCGTGGCCTCACGTTTCAGGCTTTCAGATAAGCCAGGGCTTCCAGCATCGTGCGCCCGAGTCGCGGCCACGATCTCGGCGACGCGAGCGAGAGCATGCCATCCGTGAAGTCGTTATCTGCAATTCTGCATTCTGCATTCTGCATCCGGGTTAACAAGAATGCACGATGAGAACGAGGGGTGTGTCCTTATGTTATGCGATGTATGGGAGCCGAAGCAGATGTTTTTGCCGGGATATGCCGCGAATAAAATGCTTTGTTCCCTCGCTACTATCACGACTAGCTATGCATGTTCCGGCGACATATTTATTCTACAAGGATATGCCGCGTGTACCTTGGTTTCGATCACGGTGTGCTGACGTTCTGCTAGCAAATAATATTCGTATATACGCATTTTGTTGGAAATATCTAGGCTTAGCTCAATTCTCTGGTTGAATCAAACATGTCTCCAAGGAAATTTTACGGTACTTGGAAAAACAACAACAGTCTTTCGTGTAGTAAGATCTAATAGTTGAAAAATACGGTACTTGAAAAAAGGCAACAGTAGTTCCCAAAAAAAAAAAAAAAAAAAAGGCTCGTTTAGTAAAATCTAATAGTTGAAAAATAAGAGGAAGTCTTTGATTACTTCTGATTTTTCTAGCTGCCGCTTCAAAACTTTAAACTACCACAACCGAGAATCAAGAAAATTCTAAGCGGGATTCTCGGTTATAAGCGAAAACAAACAGGAAAGGCACTGATGATTGCACGGTTGTTTACTGAATTTGTCATCCAAGTTCACTTTGAAAGGCCCTTGTAGGCGGGCAACGCCGAGCCTCGCCCAATGGCGAGCGAGCGCTGGCATCTTAACCGTGTCTCCCTCAAAGTGGTCAGGTTGGCGTCTGGCGCTCGTGTTTTTGTCATGGCGTATCGCGTCGTGAGCGGCAGAACGAGGCAAGCGGACGACTGGGCTGCAGGCGGGTAGGCCGGGGCCACGGTCACATCACACGTGGATATGGCCTTCACGTTAGTACCAAGGAGGTATGCAGCCGACGGTCACTAGTAGATACTAAACCGTCAAATATCTCGGGAATAAGGGCGTAGCTAATTTTCAGGCGACGAACTGTGACCGTCGATTTCTAATCCAACAGCTGCCCTCTTTTTAGGCACTATTCATCTTCCACCTCGCGACATCACATCCACACCAGCCGCTCCTCGCCCCCGCTGCCGCCCACCATTCCGCAGCGGCGTGGTAGGGTCTCGCCAGAGCTCCGACGAGACCCTACCGCTCCCGTGGCGGCCTCCTCTCTCCCCCCTTCCGCCATCACTTTCTTCTCTAACTCCGGCGAGAATGGCCGCGACGCCCCCGCCCTGACTTGGCCTGCCACCTCCAGGACCCAAAGCCGCCCGGCCCCATCCCCACTGTCTGGTCGGCTTGTCTCCCCCCCAGAACCCCTTCTATGCCGGCCGGATTTGGGGAAGAAAGAGGGGAAGAGGCCAGAGAGGGAGGCCACCGCCACCCGCCGCTATCGTCGTTGTCTTCATCTCCGGTGGGGTGGTGGGGGTAGAGCGGGTGCGAGGCACGGGCACATGAAAGCTCTAGTTTGGTTTTGGTTAATTGATGAAACCCTAAGTGCTAACCTAGTTTATCAAGATGATTATGAGATAGGTAGCACTACTCCAAGTGATGAAACAATGATGAAGATCATGACAATGGTGATAGCATGGTGATGATCAAATGCTTGAACTTGGAAAAGAAGAAAGAGAAAAACAAAAGGCTCAAGCCAAAGGTATAAAATATAGGAGCCATTTTGTTTTAGTGATCAAGACACTTAGTGAGTGTGATCACATTTAGGATAGATAGCCGTACTATTAAGAGGAGTGTAACTCGTATCGAAATGCGGTTATCAAAGTGCCACTAGATGCTCTAACTCATTGCATATGCATTTAGGATCTAGTGGAGTACTAACACCCTTGAAAATATTTGTGAAAATATGCTAACACGTGTGCACAAGGTGTTTGCGGGGTTGAGATGGGTTTGGGTCCTCTCTCCCTCCCTTGAGCTTCTTGAGGCGGATTCAACGCTTTGGAAAAATGAAATGTCTATTTTCTATTGCGCCGGATGCAAAATTCTTAGTGGTTGGCACATTTGAGCAAGGGTGAAGAAGTTAGAGTTGAAATGGAGTTGGTCGAAATGATCTTTGGCGTCGGTCTCTTGACCGGACGACCCAAATCACTCAATGACCGGACGAGCTGAAAGGTCACGTCGGTCGGTAGCCGCCGACGCACACAATGGGTAGGGTTGAGCACCGGACGCTGGTCTCATCTTGTCAAGGTGGACGGACGCGTCCGGTCGAAAAAACATGCCTCGGGAGGGAGTTTCTGGAAACGACCGGACGCTGGGGCTTCAGCTTCTGGTCCGGTCTTTTTGACCGGGCGTCCGGTCAGCTTCGTAGCCGTTGAAATCTGCGAACAACGTTTAAAGGGTGACGCGTGGCGTCCATCGGGCGACCGGACGCCGAGGGCCAGCGTCCGGTCGGTATGACCGGAGCGTCCGGTCAGAGCGTGTTTTGCCCAGTGAAGAGGTACAACGGCTCTATTTGATGGGGGCTCTATTTATAGCCCCATGGCCGGCTCAAAGGAAAACTCTTGCACATTTTCATTGACATAACAACCTTGTGAGCTTAGCCAAAGCCCTCCCATTATTGATCCATCATCATTGTGAGATTGGGAGAGAATCCAAGTGCATTGCTTGAGTGATTGCATCTAGTGGCACTTGGTATTCGTGTTGCGCTGCGGATTTCGCTTGTTTCTCTTGGTGGTTGCCACCACCTGGACGGTTGGAGCAGCGGTGAAGGATCGGCACGAGTTGGTGATTGTTCGTGGCATTTCGGTGATTGTGAGGGAGTTGTACATTCCCGGCGGAGCGCCGAAAGGTAACTCTAGTAAATTGCTCGTGTCATTGAGTTACCTCACTTGTGGGTCGGTTCTTGCGGTGTCCAATCGTGTGGACGAGGTTTGTGAAACACCTCTTAGCCGCCGAACCACCAAGTGTTGATCGACACAACGGGGACGTAGCGTGTTGGCAAGCACGTGAACCTCGGGAGAAAATCGATTGTCTCTCTTCTTTGTCATTCTCCCGGTGATTGGCTATATATTCATCTTGTGATTGATTCATCCCCTACACGTCGGTATAATCACTCTACTCACTCATTTACATTCTTGCAAACTAGTTGATACAAGCTCTTTAGTGTAATTAGAATTGAAAGCTTGCTTTATTATTTACATTCATCTAGTTGAGCTCTTTAGAGTAGCAAGGTTGAGAGCTCTTAGTGAGTAATTACATAGCTAGTTTGTGTGCCTAAGTATTCATTGCAACTAGAATTGTTGGATAGGTGGCTTGCAACCCTTGTAGAGCTAGAACACGTTTGCATTACGCTATTTGTCATACTAATCAAATTGCTCTAGTTGATTTGTAGATTTTTAAATAGGCTATTCACCCCCCCCTTTAGCCATATTAGGACCTTTCAGCACAGCGGCGACGCGACTGAAAAGTGACACTAGAACAGAAGTCATGTTTCAGGCGTCTGCTCTATATGAAATGTGCGGAAATAAAGAAAAATTATATTTCTTACATGCATATTTAGTTTCAAATGACATGTTTCCACTTGTACTTGGAGTTTATGTGTATACAGAAGCTTTTCCACGAAAGCACAAAGAATACATGTGCAAATTGCGAAGATGCTCAACTCCGATCAAACGATCGCCGCACAGGCACATACAAAGACCAAAAGGCCAAAATCACTACTATCTGGCCCAACACGAGGTGGCACGACAAGATCTACAAGCGAGGCCCATAGGAGAACTGACACAACGAAGTTGGGCCCGAGAGGACCTAGGCCAGGCGACCGAACCTAGGCCTCCAAGGGGTTCGGCCAAAACCCAAGGTCTAGCTCTTAGGCCCAAACTTCGCGAGGAACTCACAACCGAGTGTCCAAGCCAAGGTGGTGCATC